CTCACCAGCCCCCTGCTACCACTAGCCCCCTGCCCCCTACCACCCACCACCACCACCACCACTATCACCCACCACCACCCACTACCCACCACCACCACCACCCACCACCCACCACCACCACCACCACCACCACCCACTAGCTACCACCCACCACTCACCACCGTCATCCACCCACCCACCACCACCAACTACCCACCACCCACCGTCACCACTTTCCACCACCGTCTTCCGCCGCCACTTGCCATTTCTCACTCTTTTTATATTTTAAAATTTTTTAAAATATTTTGTTAAATACCAAACGCGTTTGTAGTTTATGTTTTTCTAAAAATAAACAAAAAATAAACAAAAACTAGTTTATAAAATTTTTGCAAATATAAACTGAAAACGTAAATGTTACCAAACAGACCCTAAACCATTTCATTTTCAGTTTTCAATTTCTATTTACAAAAATTTTAAAAACTGTCATAAAAACTTGTTTGATAAATTTTTTGGTTTATAAATGGTTGTCTTAGTTTGTAAATTTAAGGAAAAAATATAAATTCAAAAAATAAGTTTATGTTGGTTTTTAAATAGAAATTTAAAAATTTTACTAGTAAAATTTTTTTTCAAATAATTTTTTTCCCAATTAATTTTTTTGTGTAAATTACAGTAACACCCTCTGAGGTTTATGTTTATTACAGTTCCCCCTCACCTTTTGAAAATTACATTTCCCCCCTAAGGTTTAAAGTTTCATACAGATTTTCCTCTTTAACAATTTAATTTTTTTAAATACTAATTTTGCCCTCACTAGATAAATTACATTGACACCCCTCACATTTTAGAAATTACAATCACCTCCCTAAGGTTTAAAGTAGCATTACCAATTGCCCCCTTGGTTAGTATCAGTTGGAAAAAAAATTCATTGAAAAAAAATTAATTAAAAAAAATTAATTGAAAAAAAATTGTTAATAAAATTTTTAAATTTCTGTTTAAAAACCAACATAAACTCATTTTTTGAATTTACACTTTTTCTTCAAATTTACAAACTGAGACAGCCATTTATAAATAAAAAAAAGTATCGAACAAGTTTTTATGACAGTTTTTAAAATTTAATAAGTTTTTACAACAGTTTTTAAAATTTTTGTAAATATAAATTGAAAATTGAAAACGATGGTAAAAATATCGTAAAATTAACAAATAATTAAATAAGTTACCAACATAAGAAATGACTTATCAAAAGATTCTTAGGCTATGTATGATTTGATTTTTAAAAAAAAATTTAAAAATTAAAAATTAATTTAGTTAAGAAATAAGAAATAAAAAATAATTATCACTTTTATATAATTTTTATCTTTCGAATGGTTAAAAATAATTTTTTATAAATTTAATTAAAACAGTCATACGGATGTATATAATTCAAAAAAAAATAGGCGCCAAAATAAAATGTTGTAGCGCCAATCACCAAAAATATAAAAATAAAAAAATAAAAAAAAGGTTCTGCTGCTAAGCAAATAAGAGAGGGAGAAGATAAAGGGTTAGAAAGGGAGACTAATTGGGCAGCGGTGAGACTTCGACCTAGCACGGTGCTATCTCTTTGGCAGCAAGACTGGTTCGGCGCCGGCAGCAATCAACGATTCGAAAGGGAAGGGTTTTCTTATTCTGTTCCCTTTGCTTTGATCTAGGTATGTTCGGATTTTCCCCTCCCCCCTCTATATCAATGAATGAAATGGGGAGGGGATAAATTCTATGGCTTGTTTGTTTGAAGTGTGCCTTCTTACTTTCTATTCACTTAGTACCATGCTGAGATTCCAAAATTTACAAAAATGCTCTGATAGTTCATTTATGTCTTCTGTTGTGTGAATTACAGTTTGAAATGATACCAGACCCTGACCTTTCTAGACACCTTCTACTTGAACAGTATCAGGTATGCTGATTGAACTTGCGTTAGGTTTCCTTCACTCTTCCTTCCATTTCAAGGATATAATTTTTTCATTGCTGAAACATGTTTCTTATTTAATGCAACTTCAGGGAATGGTTTTACAAAATATGTATATGTGTTTTCATAGTTATTTTTTTCTTTTATAGATTTGTACTAAATTAATTATGTACCATTTTTAGGCCCAACTAGTATCTGCTGTCTGCACTGCATTAGGCACGTCCTCTGGCCCTATTCTTTTGGAGGCAGGCTTGCAGTTGGCTACAAAGGTTTCAGAATAAAAATGAATATATATCTTTGATATATTCTAATTAAATTTTGCATATTAATGATGGGGTATATCTTGTAAAAATTTCAGATACTAACGAATGGGATAATTAGTGGAGATCAAATTGCAGTTAAGAGAATATTTTCATTGATATCACATCCACTGAACAACTTTGAGGATCTTTACTATCCATCATTTGCAGAATGGGTATCATGCAAGGTATATAATTTCACTATTCTCCAAATTGTTCAATGAAACGAAGAAGGCCAATTGGTGGATCTGCTCCAAATTATTCAATGTAAATTAAGGGTTGGTTTGGGAATATAGGCTATTTTAGTAACTTTTTGGCTAAAATAAGAGGTGAAAAAAATTAGTATGCTTGGGATGATTTTTTGGATTTTTACATTAAAAAAAAAATGTGCAAAAAGTAGAGTGGAAATGGAATTTGTGACTTTTTTATATAGTTCTTCGGCCTTTTGGCTTTTTTATTGACTTTTTGACTATTATTGAAACTTCCCAAACTTGCCCTAAGAAGGCCAATTGGTGGATCTGTTGTGTTTTCTATTTTTTGTTGAAGTGAACTTTCAGCAATAGCCAAGTTCATCGAAGGAGCAGAAGAGGATATTATGTGGCTCACTGTTTTACACGTATAATATACATTTATATTGATATATCTATGTATGTACATAAGATGGTGAGTTGTTTTTTTATTTTTTATATTTACTAATACTATTCTTTTTTGTTGACTAGATCAAAATAAGACTTTTAACCGCCCATGCCTCTCTCAAATGTTATACATATGCCTTCTTGAGGAAAAAACATGATGGGGTTCCAGATGAGTATCTAGCTCAATTACCATTATTTTCAGAAAGTTCAAGTGTACTGGGGAAGTACTGGATCTCAATTTTAAATGACTACAGTTGTGTCTGCTTCAGATTGCATCTTAAACAAAAAGTAAGCTTATTATTTGTGAAACCTGTTAGTATTGTCTTTGTGTCTTCCTTCTTTCATCTTTTAAATGTAAGCATAAACACGTAGAAATGTTGTGATTGTTTCCTCTGTCCGTAGTTATTTTGTTTTCTGTGACCTGTTTGCAGTGGAAACCATTCCTTGATGGAATTCAATCACCTCTGGTTTCAACAAAGTTGCAGCCTTGTTTAGAAGAAGCCTGGCCTGTAATCTTACAGGCAGTTGCACTGGATGCAGTTCCTGTGCATTTTGACATGAATCTATCTTCCCAAACAACTGAGAATAACTCAAATAATACCTTCATCTCTGGATACAGCATGGTTCAATTGAAACCAGAAGAATTTCAATTTCTGTGGGGCTTTGCTCTACTTGTTCTATTTCAGGGACAAGATCCAACCCTTTATAAACATTTGATATGCCTGAGTTCTGCTAAAGCCAAATTTGGTGGTGACTCTCCAGTTGAAGATACAAACCCTCTGGCTTTGAAGTTATATGAGATTGTGTTACCAGTGTTCCAGTTACTCTACACAGAAAGGTTTTTCAGCATGGGTTTTCTTACTAGATCAAAGCAGTTTGTTGGTTGATAATTAATGCTTCTGTATTGATAGTTACCACGTAATATCTGGCAGTGTCACCGTTCAAGGCCCACCACAGAGCTTTTACCTTGTTTAGCATGGGGCCTTCTCTTAAGAAGGGTAGGTAATGGGTACTTTGACATGTTTTTTGTTTGAAATTATCACTTTATTTTCTTCTTTGGAACATGTGTGTGTGTATATTATAGATGATCAGGGTAAATTATAGGCCACTAAGTTACTTAATTTCCTTGTGTTTAGTTAGTAGTTCATTTATCTATCGTGATAAAAAGTTTCATCAACTATCATGAATAAATTACCACCGTGTTGTTTAGGAATTCTATACTTTTTCATTTATTTATTTATTTTTGTATTAACTCATTTACAGAGGAATTTTATTGTATTATTTCAAATCCATCATCTAAGACAGCTTTCAGGTATATTGTATAAAAAAGACAAAAACTAAAAACACAGCCATGCTCCATACAAATACTACTATGTTATTTTGTGACAATTAAATATATACACCTATTTCAAGGAATTATTGTTGCCAATATTGTAAATGGAGATTTTTTTTTCTTTTTTTTTTTCTTCTGAATATGCAGTTTACAGACATGACGTACAAGGTGGTTATAAAAGGAGTGACATCAACGGTGGAGAAAGAAATACTAAATGGGATTTCTGGTTCGGTGAATCCTGGAGAAGTTTTGGCATTGATGGGGCCTTCGGGGAGTGGAAAGACTACACTTCTAAGTCTGCTCGGTGGCAGGGTGAGAGGGTCGACACCAGGAGGTTCAATTACTTATAATGACCAGCCATATTCGAAGTTCCTAAAGAGCAGGTAACAATCTAGATATACATGAAAGAGCTAGTAGCATTGTATTTATGTGTGTTTGGTTCTCAGGAAATTTACTGAAAAACTCCTATCTTTGGTTACAAGGAATATTTCACCACTAAAAAATCTATATATGAGACTTGAAAACTAGTATGCATATACATATATGAGACTTGAAAACTGGTATGCATATACACAGCAGTAGGCTGTCCGAGTAAGGTAAGTAATGTGCTTATGCATATAAAGAAAAATAAAACACTTTCAATTTGTACAAGCTATGTCTATCACTTGGGTTGCATATTAAAAAAGAGTAGTATACACAATAACAGTTTTCTCATAGGCCTTTGTTATATATATTCACAGAAATTCATCATCACTACAACTAATGCAAAGAAAGTTAAAACCTAAGAAGCATGGATATGGACACGGATACGTGACACGACTCAGACACACTGATATTGAAATTTAAAAATTTTATAAACAAATTTAAACTTTCTTGTATTTTTCTGTGTTTTTTGTAAGAAACAAAAAGCTTAGTTACCATGTTACCATGGGATGGATAGAAAAATTACCTTCTTATAACTTCCACCACTTTTATGCTAAACAAACTCAGGACAGTTCTAACGTTTTTCCACCATTTCCTTCGCTTTCCACCACTTTCATCATATTAGCCTGATTAAGACAGATTTCCTCTAAAACCTACCTAATTGAAATTGGTTTTATAATTTTTCACCTGTATGAATGTTCAATGTTCACATAAAAGTATAGCCTGAACATTACCATTTAAAAAAATAAAAAAAGATAAGTGATGTGAAAATAAAGGGTAATCACACATTAGAATAACATGAAATATATTTCAGGATAGGATTTGTGACTCAAGACGACGTGCTCTTTCCTCACCTTACAGTGAGGGAAACATTAACATATGCAGCACTCCTACGACTTCCAAAGACATTGACAAAACAGGAAAAGGAAAAACGAGCCATAGACGTAATCGACGAGTTGGGCTTGGAGAGGTAAATTCTCATTTCTCTGCTATGCTATTATCTTGAATTATGTGTTAGCTAAAGTCAGATATAGCAAAAAACTGACCACACAAATGAATCATACCTGTTCTCATGAGCTGATCAATGAGGAATATCAATGTGCTCAGGTGCCAAGACACTATGATCGGTAGCTCTTTTGTTCGGGGAGTTTCAGGAGGAGAGAGGAAGCGTGTCTGTATTGGCAATGAGATTATAATCAACCCTTCTCTTTTGTTTCTTGATGAACCAACCTCTGGCCTGGATTCTACAACTACTTTGAGGATCATTCAAATCTTACAAGACATAGCTGAGGTATATTGCATTTCAAGTCCAAAGCTTCAATTTCACATTATTATTAGCAAATTCATGATTATATATGACAACAAAAATAAAAATTATAACAATAAATCAAACCTATCTTCATCCCAACTTCTCAAGAGTTTTCTTTACCCACTATGCCATATCTAGGGCCACAGGTTGTACAAATCATCAGCAAATCACCTATACAATGAGAGAACACATGAAGTAAATTATATGCTTATTTTAAACATCTGAGCGTAAACAACACATGGAGTAAACCATATGGGGTAAAGTAAATTTTGCCCTTTTTTCATTAACTTTTTTTTTAGTACTCTTTTAGGACTAAATGAAGGGCTTGGGTGTTTGTTTGAGCAGGGAAGAAATGACTTTGAGATATATGACTCTGAGAGAACAGTGGGTCACACAGGTCAGCTTTATATTTCAGCTTCTTATTGCATTATTAAATACCATGGATTTTCTATTTTCATGGCATCTAGAGAACCAAATGCATCAGTAGTATAGTGTCAATGCAAAGAAAGCTCCAATCAGACTTGGATGATTGCAAAACAGAATGGATCCATTTTCGAAAATAAATATAATTGGTGATGTTCTCATACAATGCTGTAAATGATTTTTTACATAAAACAAAGTACTTGTTTTAAATGCTATGGAAAACAAAATGGAAAAAATGTTGCAACTTCAAAAGAAACAATTTCATTTGGATAATGCTGTAAAACAACATATATATACACATAATCCTCGTTTTAAATGATGCAATTGGGAGTTTCTAAACCCACCACACTCCCGCCATGTTCATCTCTACACCCTATATCCACAAATCTTTATCTTCGTAACATACAAGACTATACCAATGCATATAGTGAGGTAGAGAGAAAATACAAGCGAGGTGGTAATTTAGAAGACTCGAATGAATTTTTTCATAAATGCAGTCTTTGCTTCTACCAAAACCCTAGTTGTTTCTTTGCGTGAATAGTAATTACAACTGATATGTACTCTCCCCACCCCAAAAAAATACAGGAGAAATTCCTTGAGTTTCTATTTATTTATTATGGGTTAGCTGGAATATAGATTCAACAAGTAATCAAATGTACCATTCACAAAAAGATCCGTACACAAAGTTGTATTGAGATTTATCATTTGTTAAATACATGATCATTAGTGACCTCCTAATCACTAATGTAGCTATGCTGACACTGAGGCTGCCTATTGGCATCTAAATTGTTTACGGGAAACGTTACTTCCAAAAGGATATAAGTCAAGCTGAAATGACTTGACGTTTCGTATTTGGTTTGTTAAAATTAACTTTTTAGTTTATTCATATACATCAGCGGGTTTTGCATTATTTGTGTTTTTTATTTTTCAGGTCAGAACTTTTTTGGAGAGATGCACAAATATGCGTCCAAGAATTAAAGAACTAGTTTTTTAAGTTTTTTCATTTTTTTATAAAATGTAGCACAGTTAATTTTTTTTTTATTTAATTCCCTTTTGTATATACTTTCTGAATATTTAATTTGTCATTGTATGAAAGTATTAACGTTATTCCTATTCAATTATCTGGTTACTGATTTCAAAATATAAGTATATAGAGATGTTATTAGCATTCTTCCAAATGTGCAATATAAACTAATATTGATTTATTTTTTCAAAATATGTCGAACCCTGTTTTTTTCATTACAGAATTTTAAATGTTTTTAATCACACTTAAAAGATGTGGTCTAAATGTTTTTAATCACACTTAAAAGATGTGGTCTAAATGTTTTTAATCACACTTAAAAGATGTGGTCTAAATGTTTTTAATCACACTTAAAAGATGTGGTCTAAATGTTTTTAATCACACTTAAAAGATGTGGTCTAAATGTTTTTAATCACACTTAAAAGATGTGGTCTAAATGTTTTTAATCACACTTAAAAGATGTGGTCTAAATGTTTTTAATCACACTTAAAAGATGTGGTCTAAATGTTTTTAATCACACTTAAAAGATGTGGTCTAAATGTTTTTAATCACACTGACTCTTTTTAATCACACTGTTTTTAATCACACTTAAAAGGTGTGATCTAAATATTATTAATCACACTTAAAAGATGTGATGAAAACATTTTTTAATGACACTTAAAAAGTGTCACACTCCTAAAGACCACACTTCAATAAAACTTAAAAGGTGTGATTAAAAAATATACATCACACCAAAAAAGTGTGATCTTTATCTATATTTGTAGTAGTGATGACTTAATCATATAATGAAATAAAGCTTAAGAAATATATTAATAATTTTTTGGTTTCTTGTAATTGAAATTTATTGACCAAAAAGCCAAAATCTATTAATAATTTTTTGGTTTCTTGTAATTGAAATTTATTGACCAAAAAGCCAAAATGTATTAAAACGTAAAATATTTTGTTTAGTTGCCAATAACTTAACCAATTCCATTCACGTTGGAGATTAAATTGGTCTAACATTAAAAAAAAAAAATGCATTTTAAAAAAATTCATATAATGTCCGTGCTGGACAATAAAACAAAAATCTCTGTAATCTTTAGAAAATAGCGACTTTAGTTAGAATTGTTTAACCCTTCATTGCACCTGCAAAAATATTTTTAGGTGGCTTGTCTAATTGACATTTAGGGTTTTAATCATGGTGAGGTGAGGCAACCGACCCATACGAAGGGAAAGAATAGAGAGGAAAGGCCATTAAGTAAGATGGATTTTTTTTTTAATTATTAGATACCTGTGTAACACAGTGAAAAATAAAATTACAAATTTGGACTTTTTCTCTAGAATTACCAATCTCGATGTTGGTGGGTTGATTGGAAACATGTTGGAAATTAGAGTTCATTGCTTCACGATGAATCCTTGTGAATTTTGGGTCAATTATTTCATTAAAAGCCTGATGCAAAATAATATTTTGTTACAAAATTCAGTGATATAAAACAGTAAAAAAAAATGATGATAAGTAGCAAATTTTTTTTTTTGCTTTACTTTTGTTTTACACATCTTTAAAAGGTGAACTTGTCATGCAGCCAACATCATTCTAACAAATTCCTTGTAATCAATTAGACCATCACCATCC